TAACGGCTGACTTGTGAATAAGGATGAAAATATCTGATGATGTGACTCCCAGGGAAGCAATTATGGTTAACCCCTCATTTGTTTGGCATTTTCAAGTATTGAACTGTCCCACAGAACTGCATTCTCCTGACAACTCAGACTTTCCTATTTATGTGCCTTGAATGTTTTCAACCATGCTTGGTGGAAATACTTCTGAAATTGGTTATTCAATTATCCTGCCTTCTTGAACAGAAGCTGCAAGAAATAACATTTCTTTAGATGCCTTTCTTTGACTGCAAGTCTGAGAAGACTTGATTAAAAGAGGTTTAGGTAGTTAGGACTTGCAGTGGTCTCACATAACAAGGAATCCAGAGCTGGGCATTCCAGGGCTGAGGAATTCAATAGCTCAGTGATGTCAGGCTGACTTCCCCTCACGGTCACAAGGTGGATACACAGCTCCAAGCCTCAGGATCTCACATGACAAGATCTAGGCAAGAATGAAATGGGGGCTTCTCCTTATACATGTCTTTACTCAGGAAAATATTTCTCAGAAGACCCCTAGCCAACTTCCCCTTGGGTCTCATTGGCAGGACTGAGTCACATTTCCATGCCTTGGTCTTATGGAAGGCTGAGAGAGTGAATACCCAGCACTTTAGGACTCTGAAGTGGGAGGAGGGCTCTACCCTTAAAAAAGAAGGATGGAAGGGCACCTGTGTGGCTCAGTTGGTTAAGTGCCCGACTCTGGATTTTGGCTCAGGTCTTGATCTCAGGGTCATGAGATCAAGCCCTGCATTGAGCTCTGCACTGGGTGTGGAGCCTGCTTAAGATTTTCCCTCTCTTCCTCTCCCTCTGTCCCTCCCTCCTCCCTTCCTTTTGTTAAAAAAAAAAAAAAAAAAGAATGGAGAATAGATGGCTCTTGGTAGGGAACCAAGAGTGTCTGCCAGGTTACTGAGATTGGGAGTGAACATTACTTACAGTATGGTAGTAGCTTGAGGGATGGTTGGGCTTTTCGTTCTATGCTGAATGGCCCCAGACTGGGATTATTTTTGATTTCCTAAGTCTGCTTTTATTTATTATTCTCTCTCCTTCCTCTGTGCCAGACTGCTAGTTATCATTACTTACTGTTCATGTACCTTGTCCTAATCTTGCCATAATTAGATTTTTTTTTTTTCTGGAAAGATCCTATGATCAAACTTGTGAGAACTCTGCCCGAAATGTTCTGAGTGAGTATCTGACAGCTGTCCTGTGTGTCACCTACGTGATGTAGCATTGCTTTTGGCTGTTGGGGGCCATTTTTCCATCGTGAGGTCTTTGGAGAAGTGACAAATTTCTAGAGAGTCTTATGAATTTAGATACAACTCTAATGAAGTCGTCTTACGGTGAAAGGATGAGCATTTGGGGACAGTTAAGCTTGTTTACTAGAGAAAGCAAAACTGCATCTGTCCATCTGAATCCCAGCGTGGTGTAGAGAGAGGCAGCGAAGTTTATTCGTCCATATTCGGCTCCTTCTCAAAGCCACATGACTGCCAGTTGCCTGGAGAACAAGTACGAGAGCTCTGGGACTATGACCCGTGGGACTCCTCCCTGCAGCGACTGTCCAGCACGGGGCAAGCTGGTGCAGAGTTTCATGATCCCCACCCTCCGCCAGGGCAGCAGGGCCCTGTGAGGGAATGCTGTGAAATGCCCAGGTCATACAGAATCGCAAGTGTTTTGGCAGGGACTTGTTTCAACAAGTTCTTGAAGAAAGTAATACTTTGGCAGTGGTTATTGAAATTACACTGAACAAGTGAGGACCATCCCTTCCATGGACGGAGAGCTGACCAAAATTCAGTCTCTGTATACAGGAAGAAGGAAATAGGAAGCAGTTGTCAAAATAGTACTGACGATGAGTAACTGAACCAAATGAAATGATTCTCCTCTGGGAATCAAACTGGAGCTGGTAGGTGGGTTGTGTTCGAAGGAATCCAATGGTTAAAATGTTCTGTTTTGATCTAGCTGAAGCTGTGAGCCCAAATGGCTTAGAACCCTGGGAGTACCTTCAGAGCAAGTTAGCTGTTTGAAGGCCTGCGGTCTCACTTTACTTTGTGTCAGAAACTCATGAGTGAGGGGCGCCAGGCTGGTTCGGTCAGCAGAGCATGTGGCTCTTGATCTCAGGGTTGGGTTTGAGCCCCATGTTGGGTGTGGGGATTACTTAAAAATAAAACCTTAAAAAAAAATCACGTGTTAGCTTTATAGGCAAACATTAAGTGGCAGAAACATTTGGGGATAAGGAAAACTTTTGTGTTTTTTTGTTGTTTTTTTTTAATTCTGACTAATTTGTACCATTCAAATCATTCTTACAAGAAAAATGCGAAGTATTTCTCATAAACATTTTAGTTATTAACTCTCTCTTATGCAGAACATTTTTTAAAGAATATCCTTTTATTGACTGCTGACTGATACAGATAGAATATCGTTTAGTTAAGTTGAATAAGCTATTTATATTTTTTGAATTTTATTTTCTCATATGTAGATTACCAACTTTATTTCTCAAGTACTCTGACCATTCCTGCTTTGCTGATCATCCAGCTACTGTGTTCAAATTTTAATATTGGCTTCAACTATACTTTTTTAGAAAAAGCTCCATGGAGAAATAATCATGCAATCAATGTTTTTCTGGGATCACAGTACATCTCAGCATGTAGCTGGCTGGCAGTTTTTTTTCTTTTAATCAGAACAATTTACTTGCCTGGGTAAATAAATTTACATTCACATTTTGAATTGTTTCTGATCTTAATTGGGCATTTAGGGGGTCAAAGTGGATGGTTCAGATCTAGGTGGGAAAATCATTTTTCAGCATGTCAAAATACCAGCAACTCATTTTCTACAAAACAAAATAACAGGAACAAAAAATATAATGTACTCCAAAGCCCAGAAAAAGCTGGTAGCTTGACAGTCATGAAGACTGTGGTATTCTCTGTATTACTTTGATCCTGAATGTGACTGTGCTTATTTAAATTGGCAAATTCTTGCCACTGAATTCTATTATTCAAAATGACTGCATTTTTGAAGGGAAGCTTACATGTTAAATACCTTTCACCAGTGCTGTTGATGACTGCTCTGGGGGTTAATGTGAATCTTGTTTTATATTTGTATATTTAACATGTAATATAAACAATTGAAGTGAAATTAAACTGTATGTGAATGGGCATTTTTTCTAAAATTAGAGGAGATACAGTGAGTAATCAGAAAATATATAAACTTAATTTTAGAAATATATTTATTTCTAAATGACCGAAGATGTTACAAATCATGCTTTGTAATGTAAAGGGACTCAAAAGGGTTTTCTGAGTTGGATTATTTCTAATTTGAGTCAGTCTGTTTTTCATACTTCGTATTATTCCTGCATGTTACTAAATCTCTGCTTTGGCACAAGTAGGCATGTGCTGAAACTGCACTGAGGCACGTGGAAAATGTGACTTATGAGTGGATATTCACAGTCTTCCCGCTTTTGGGGGTTGTGGTGATTCATATGCAGAAACCCCCTGCAGCACTGAGTCAGAGTCAGATAGACCCAGTGGCCTAAGAGGGCCTGCCACTGGACAGTTTTTCTGTTTTTTGTTTTTTTGGGTTTTTTTAAAGTTTGCTGCAAATTGACTTTTCCTTCATGAAATCATTTTGGATGCTTAGAGGGCCTAGCCCAAGTCAAATGTCACCCTACACTGGCATGGTGACAAATACACAGCTAGTGTGTGTTTTCATATATTTGCCTCATGTAGCCAAAAAGGTGAATCTTGTACATTCTTCACAGTAGAGATTTTAGCTTCCTAAACTGTAATGATAACACGGTGAATGTGTTGTGAGCAGGAGGCAATGGGGCCCAATAGAAGGAGCTCAGGATTTACACCATGGGTCTAGATTTGAACCCTGCCTCCACTAGCTAAGGCTCGGGCCAGTTAATCGATCTCTTGGAGTCTCAAGTTTGTTCGTCTGTTAAATGCACATGGTAAAATAATGTCTGCTTCATGGAATTATAAGTCTCAAATTAGATAAAATATGTAAAAGTACTCTGTGAAGCTAGGAAATTCTGTACACATTTTTTTCTCATTATTATATTTTCCCAAGTTAATGTGCCTGTTCTTTGCCCTGGAAGTGATAACATCCACACAAATATACAATATATGCCTTGAAGAATGTGCTATTGAAACAGTCTGTGTTTATAGTGTCGGTTTGCCTCAAACTAAAAAGAAGGAGTCGTTTTATTTTAAGAATTGAGTGAAAGGACCCCAAAATGAACAGATATAAGCACATAATACTTGTTAGCAGCCAACACTGGAATCAGGCTACACCCTCGAAGTAGATATAATGCAGTGTTCAGATGAGTCCCTGTTGCGTTCCATTAAGGAGCCCCCACTGGTTTAGGAACTATATGTGGTAACACATCTGGAGAAGCTTCAAAGTGCTGAGTATCAGAATTCACTGCTTGATTGGAAGTAAAGTGGTAACTTTATTTTTGCTGGTGGTCCAGTGGCTGTATCCTATAAAGTAGAAAGATTATCACCTGCTCTCTTGCTCCCCATTCCAAATCCATTCTTTAAGGACAGCCTCCATCCCACCCCCTCCATCAAATGCTGGATGAGGAAGGTACTGCCCAACCTTTGAAGAATTTATGATTTTAAAAGAGATTTAAAACAGATAATCAACTAACTTCTCTATGGAATCCTGGACAAAGTAATTGCCATGGGAGGCGTTCACATGGCTGGGAGTGCCCAGCTTCTGTGAACACTTCATAGCATCTGTCAGCACCCACGCATCATGCCTCATATTGGTTAAATTTATTTATGTGTGATTTTCATTTATGTACCTAGATTGTAAACTCCTGGAAGGCAGGGAAGGCACCTTGGTATTTCTCGTTCCCTCTCTCCATACCTTTTACCTAAGCCTCAAACAGTTTTTGTGGTTCAGATAGAGTCTGTACCCAACATTCAGGTTTAACCCATACATTTAAGCCCTAACTTGCTTCTTTTCTTTTGTCTTTGCAGTTGACCTGCCCCTGTTTTTCCCTCGAGACCAGCCAACTCTCACATTCCAGTCCGTCTATCACTTTACCAACAGTGGACAGCTTTATTCCCAGGCCCAAAAAAATTATCCATACAGCCCCAGATGGGATGGAAATGAGATGGCCAAAAGAGCAAAGTAAGTGAATCCACTGTGTTTCCTACAAATAGGAGCACTTCCTTTCTCTAGTCCAGGTGTTGGCAAGCTACTACCTGCAGGCTAAAGCCTGTCCTGTGCCTGTTTTTGTAAATAAAGTTTTACTGAAACACAGCCATGCCCATTTCTTTACTTATTTTGTATGGCTGCTTCCATGCTACCATGGCAGAGTGAGAAATTGCAACAGATCACACATGACCTACAGAGCCAAAAATATTTGCTGTTTGGCCCTTAACAGGAAAAGTTTGCCAACCCCTTATCTAGACTCATCAGGTAGATTGGTTGTTTTTTTAAATGGGTTACAGGATTTATCTGAAATCTACTGGTCTATTTAGATTAGAGAAAAAGTACTAGAGGAATTAGAGTTGTGGATAAATGGTGTTGATGATGAAAATGTTGGAAGCTATTTTCATATTTTTTTTAAAAAAATGGAAAATTTCAGCTGACAGTAAACAAATAGAATTTCTGCTTAGTGGTCAATACATGCGTCCAGTACCAAGTTTTTCTTGTGGAACTGTAATGTCTCTGAAGGAACAAACATTATATATCTCATTGAATCTCTACCACCATTGCCCAAATTAGGGCCTGTGTCTTCTTCGTCTGAATAAATGGCTATGCATATAGCTTGGAACTGTTAGAATCCCTGTGGAAGTAGACTGGGAATTTGATAGAAGTTGAAGTTAGCTAGAGTTTGGAGCTTAGAGATTTAAGTACTGCCCATGAACCTATATGTAGAAAGTATTCACAAGTCCTATGGGATAGGTAAATGTACAAATATGTTGGTGTTTTATGGGTAACACTTTATTTTTTTAATTTTTTTAAAAGATTTTATTTATTCATTTGAGACACAGAGATACAAAGAGAGAGAGCACATGAGCAGGGGGAGAGGCAGAGGGAGAGGGAAAAGCAGGCTCCCCGCTGAGCCAGGAGCCCGATATGGGGCTTGATGTGGGGCCTGATCCCAGGACCCCGTGACGATGACCCGAGCTGAAGGCAGACGCTTAACCATCTGAGCCTGGGTAACACTTCAGTATCTGGAACACCAGTCTTCATGGACCATGGCCTCCCAGATTGAAGCCACAGTGGATCAAAATCATAGTTTCCAAAAATATGTCATGGTTAGAGTGGCAGGTGGTTATTACTTTATCACTCTGAACAGCCATACGGTCACCCCTGTGATCCCAGCTGAAGGATGATGAGATCCACAGCATCACAGATATGAAGAATATTTATTAAACATCTTCATTCAGTCATTCAGCGTTTATTGAGCAGCTACCATGGTCCAGGCAATGAGCTCCATGCTTGGGGATAGTGATAAACACATTGGAAGTTGTCCATGTCTTCATGGAATTTATAGCCCAGCAGGAGAGATCAAAGCCTTTATCATACCAGATTTCTGACAGTTTTAAGTACTAACAAAACCTGGCCTGCCAGACCTAGAATGCTCTCGATTAGTAGGGCTTCTTGCTCTTGCCTTCCGCTCCCTGAGACTTCTTTCCCTCCCAGGGGGCCTCCTGGCATCTCCTATACTTTCTGTAGGTACAAAACCTTCACTTAATCAGGATTGGGGCTCTGTTCAATAATGACAGGGCTGCTTTCTGTAGACACACAGATCTTCCCACATTCATATGTGGGATCCAGAAGTGTTATCTGAGACTTCAATGTGCCCTTTCTTCCTGCATTTCCCTTTTTTATCCATGAGGTCCAAGTCTGAAATTCTATTTAAGGAAAACGACAGGCATATGCAAATGTACCTAATAACAATGATTAAGACTTAGATATATTGAAACAGACGTGAAAAAAAAGGGATTCAAAAATAAGTTCTATGTTTGGGGTATTGCAATTGTTTAATTTTCTGGGCTTTCCCTGTGTATATATAAGATCTGCCCTTAGAAGATGGGCTGTTATTTGTGGTATGTGCTATGGAGTCTGAACCAGACATGTCCTTGTGGTTTCCATGGCAAAACTGTGTGTGTGTGTGTGTGTGTTTTTCTTAACTAGACATTTTAGCATGTATGAATTGAGTCTTTAAGGAGTTGCAGACCACAAGCCTGTGATTTCAGTATAGGAAGATCGTAAGTGAAGCCTGTTTATCTTAACAGATTGGTTCAGAGTTGCAAGAGACATTTGCTTTATGTTAACACCAGCCTAAAGAAAACATCTGAAGTAACGTTAAAAAAAATCCGCTTTCTACAGTAGTGAAGATGGATTCATTTTAAATGTAATAAAAGAGAAAGCCAGCCGCTCATACTAGGAAGAAGAAATAGTTTAAAAGCTCTCTTCTTTAAATTGAACCGAGTAACTTCCCTGGGCTGTGTCAGAAAGCCAGGTAATGGATCAGCACAATCCGAGAACTGTCCTGCAGGACAGGCTTGAGATTGGTGGAGAGAGTTGGAGAGAAAGGACAGAAAGAGAGAGAGAGGTCAACTGTAGCATTCCTTACATGCCCTGTTTCTTTGTCCTGTGAAAATATTGTACGTGCACAGTGCGTGAAAGGCTATAATTCACTCGGGGAGCTCTGCCCATGACATAAACACTCACGGTTTATGAATAGCGGTAGAGCCCGTTGAGTGGAGTCAGCTGTTTATTCCCTCCTCTAGAGCAAAATTCTAAACATGTGACCTCAGGAAGGACACTTTCTGGCACTGACCAGAGCTTTTCCTAGGACATGTGCTTCTTGCTCATGGCTGTCCAGCAAATTCTGTCCTCACAAGTGAAATGCCCTCTACTGGGTGATCATAGGCTTTGGGGTCACGCAATCCCATGCCCAGCTCCTATCACAAGTTCTAATCGAATAAGCTCTATGGCCTTGGGCAGGGCTATTAACCTTTCTGAACTTGATCCTGTAAAACAAGACTGTACTCCTCCCTATTGGATGGGCTTGATCTGAAGGGTCAGTGAATGGACATATGGAAGACTCTTGTGTTTAGCTTCCGCTTTGTTCCACAGTGCCTTTGCTCACTCCTTCTTCCCACCCTCTTTCTGCCCCTTCAGATCCTTCAGCGTTCTTCCCTCCGGTTTTCTCCATGCATGCTAACATGCAGGCAGCTTCTTCCCCTCTGCCTAGTCTCAGATCTTCCTCAGCTTACAAAAGGGTTATGTACCTATAAACCCATCGTAAATTGAAAATATCATTTGTAAACTGAAAATGAATTTATTACACCTAACCTACCCAACATCATAACTTAACGTGGCACTACCTTCAATATGCACAGGACACTTAACTTTAGCCACAGTTGGGCAACATCATCTAACATAAAGCTGATTTCACGATACAGTGTTGAATAGCTCACATAATTTACTGAACAGTACTGAAAGTGAAAGAGAGCATGGTTGTATGAGGACAGAATGGTTGTAAGCGTATCAATTGTTCACCTTCCTGATCGTGTGGCAGACTGGGAGCTAGCTGCAGTTTGCTGCCACTGCCCAGCACCTCGAGAATTCTGCCACGTAGCCCGGGAAGAGCTCAAAATTCAAAAGTACGGCTTCTACTGAATGCATGTCACTTTTGCATCATTGTAAAGTCAACAAATTAAGTGGAACCATTGTAAGTCAAGGACCAGGTGTGCTGCTTTGAAATCTCTTTTGTATTATTTTTTTTTGTATCTTTATATTGTTTCATTTCCTTAATCAAATTTTGAGTTCTTTGAAGGCGGGGGCTTTGCATATCTATCTTTTTAAAGATATTTATTGCAGTGTAATTCACATATGATAAAGTGGACAAATTTTAGTATATCTTTTGATGGAGTTTTGACAAAGTTACCTTCTACCTTTTCCAGTTAGTCTCCTCATCCCCAGGACAGACACTGTCCCATGTCTTAGTTTTTCCTTTTCTAGATACTTCTTATAAATGGAATAATACAGATTGTATGCTTTTGTGTCTTTTGTAGTCAGCATAATTATTTTAGATTTATCTGTTATGGTATTCCTTTTTTACTGCTGAGGAATTTCCATTATAGGAATATACCATAATTTATTAATGCATTCATCTGCTTACATATATTTAGGTTGTTTCCAGTTTGGGGACTTTATGAAATGAGCTGCTAAAAACGTTTTCATATGAACCTTTTTATAGACATACAGTTTCAATTCTGTGAGTAAATAACTGGGAAGGGGGAGCATGTATATGATTAACTTTATAAGAAACTGACAGATTTTTTCTGAAGTCTTTATACCAGCTTACACTCCCACTGGCCAAATACAGGGTTCCATTTGTTCCAATATCCTCCCTGACACTTGGTATTGTCAGTCTTTTAATTTTAGCTATTTCAGAGGGGATGAAAGGAGATCTCTTTGTGTTTTTTAATCTTAATTTCTTGATGATTAATGATGCTGATCATCTTTTCATGTGCTTATTGGTATATCTTCTTTTAAAAAGTGTCTGTTCAAATTTTACCTATTTTTAATTAGGTTGTTGGTTTTTTTTATCATTGAGTTTCAAGAGTTATTTATATATTTGTCAGATTTATGCATTACAAGTATTTTCTCCTAATCTGTGGCTTGCCTTTTCATTTTCTTAACAGTGTCTTTTGATGAGCAGAAAATTTTTATTTTTAATGAAATTGATTTTATTAGTGTTTTCTTTTTATGTTAATGCTTTTGTAGCCTCACACGTATTTGCTTACCACAAGGTCATGAAATTGTTCTGTTTGTTTTACAAGCTTTCGTTTTGGTTTGGCGTTTAGGTCTCTGATCCATCTCAAATTAATTTTTGTGGATGGTATGAGATGGAAGCTGAAGTTGTTTACATATATCCAGGTATTTCAGCAACATGTGTTGAAAAAAAGTTTTTTTTCTCTGTTGAATTACCTTCATGCTTTTGTCAAAATAAAGTGACTATATATGAGGGGGTCTATTTCTGGATACTCTGTTCTGTTTCATTGGTCTATTTTTCTGTTGGTCTGCTAATACCAATATTTCTTAAAGTCAGGAAATGTAAATTCTTCATCTTTGTTCTTTTTGAAGATTGTTTTGGCTATTCT